CCCGCCCTCTCAATTTTCTTCGACTTTATAATTTGTTTAATTTTCATTTGATTTGATTATTTATCATTTGCGTTTAGAAATCTTTATCAAAGATTTGATTGTCTTTTTCTTCTTATTATTTTCTATGCATCGTTCATATCAACAACATCATCAAGATTTTCTGTGTTAATATTGATAAATAAATAGATATTTCAGTTAGAATAAATGACGGAAAATTTAAAAAAAAAAAAAAAAAATCGCTAGAAAAGAGAAAAGCGGAGCATGTGAATTGCATAATGAAGGGATGGATTTTGTTCTGGGTTTTGTAGGCAGAGCCAGGTGGTAGGCTCGGCAGCCCATCCGGGTCATACCCACAGCCACCATGGGCATCCAGTCCATCTGAGCCCTGGGGGTGGTGGTGGAGGCAGAAGCCCCACGGGCGGACCTGTGATAGGGGGTGCCCAGCATCTGGGACAACCTCTCTACCAGGAGTACGCTCATGTGCGTTCAAGAGCACATGCCGTGCCACCCCCTGTTTATGTTACTGCTGCGCCTTCTCAGGCTCCTGCTGCTATCCAGCAGCAACAAGTGCCCACCTTTCAGGGATTCACACCCGGGTGGGTACCTAGACACCTAGTTGATGCATGCACGTGTGTACCATTTATTATTTTACGTTTATAGTGTTTAGTATTTATTTAATGTTAAATGTATCTGTTCCGTTAAGGTATGTTTGTTGATGTTATTTATCATTACAATGATATTATTATCATTATTATTATTATTATATATTTTATATAGTTCGTGCATAATTACATGATGCGTAATGTGTCCTATTTAATGTAATTAGATATTCCTCTTGAAAAAAATGTTTTTTTTATATTTTTTTTATACAAGATTTTCATTTATTCGATCCCCCAATTTGCACGAGTTATCGTTAAACGATATATCGGTTTTTTATATAAAAGAATAAACCTCGTTTTTATTCTTCTACTTCTTCTTTTTTTTAATAAATGGTTTATTCATTTTTATTCGTTTTTATTTTTTTTTTTATTTTCTCTTTATATACATAGCATCAAGAGTATTTTACATTGTATAGTTTAGTGTTTTTGTAGAGTATCTTGATTAGAAACTTGCATGTTTGCACATTGCATATCTTTCATATTTATCTATGTACAAGTATGCGTTTATTTCGAGGAATTTTATATTTTCATTCTACCATAAAATATTAATGTTGAATAAATAAATAAATATATATATATATTATAAAAATGTAATGATTATTTGATCATACTTGTACATAAATTAGTTATAACAATATGTCGATCGCCCATTTGCACATTCGTATCCAAAATATCATTTACTTTTAAACAATGTAATATGAATTTTTATATACTATAAAAAAAAAAAAGAAAAAAAACAATAATTTCTTTTCTATGTACATATATATTTATGTATAAATAATCTAAATATGAAGATACGCAGATGTAATCTGGGCCAGCGGTATCTTAAGGGAAATACATTTATTATATATTCAAAGAATTATATTTAATATATTTCTATAAACATATACTTGTAATCTTTTTTTTAGAAATTTGTGGAGATGTTCTAACCGTATGTTATCCCGTTTTTTACAGCTCGTCTCCATTAACGTTGTATGATTCTAGTCGTGCGTTGCCACCACCAGCTCATCACAGTTCAGCCAGACCATTACTAGCAAGCCATGCAGCTCATCCACTACCAGCGCATATGCAACCTACTGCTGTTTATGGATTGGCTCCTCTTTCACCAGCCAAACACCAGTATCAACCATCTGGTTTGTGGTTTACGGAGTAAATTCATATTTTTCAAGTGCATTAATGTGCTCTGATCGTTGCAGTTCAAATGCTCTCGTTATGCCCTCCTTACTTATTTGTTGTTATATTATCTTTTTTCCTATTTTTTTTTTTTTTCTATTTCTTGTGAAACTTACGATATGTCTGTCTGTTTATCTGTCTCTCTTCCTAAATATATATATATATATAATTTTTGTTCTCATCTGTCAATGTTCGATACAATGGGAAATATTAATGCGTAATGAAAAAGGACTTACATTGCATTGAAATATTTATTAATGAAAGACTCACAAAACTTTGTCTCTCTATCTCTTTTTCAAGGATTCTTCTTTTAAAATACCTGCTACATTTTTATCAACGGAATGTGTAATTAAAAAAGTCGATTTACATTAGGAATTGTTGAAAAGAGACATTGAGATAAATAGTTTTTGATTTTAGAAGAGACGGTCTTTTATAATAATCAAATCGTCAATCCGTCCTTGATCATCGTTGTTCTCTTTATATTTTCTTAATTCTATACGGTATAATACAATTAAGTTTTGAGACAGTGACAACGCATTCATTACAACAAAAATAGGTTTAATAGATAAACTAGATCTTGCAATTTGATACTTTTTAATTATCATTCTTTGTTAATTGTTTAGTTGTTTTAATCACAAATGAAATCTAATGRTGTCCTTTTTCAATTCGTATAATAATAATAATAATAACAACAACAACTCGTGTAGAAGGAATTGTTAAAAAGATACTTTATAGGGCTAATGTGTCTCGTTTAGATTATTCTACACGTTTTCCTAAAACTATTACTATATATATATATATATATATATATATATATATATATATATATATTTATTGTTAATTATATAAAATTCATGAAAATTTGTAATTTTGTGTCAAGACACTCTGTAGCAAATGTGTTTATATATATATACACATATAAATATATGTATATATAAAACTTTGCGTGCCCATTATGTTTGTCGTAAGTTTCCAAGAATATAGAAAGAAAAAAAAATATAATAGAAATGGGGAGTGGGAAAGAAAAAAGAAATACAATTCGTTAATATTTTGACGATTTGATATCGATTTTTCTTTGCGTATCGGAATTTAATTGAAATTGTTTCGTTTAATTATCGGACATAATCCCGCGATAGACAATGAAATTTGTATGATAAACAGAGAGAGAGAGAGAGAGAGAGAGAGAGAGAGAGAGAGAGAGAGAGAGAGAGAGAAAACAAAAAGAAAGAAAGAAAAAAAAATCGGACGAATATATTAATGAAAAAAAAGAATGTTGTTGTTGTTTAATTATTACATATACGAATAGAATTATTTATAAAATAAATATAATTATTAATAATGGACAATATTTATTTCCATAAATAATTTCATTCGTAATGTAATAATTTAACAATGAAATATATTGTGTGTATACGGTGTTGGTTTTATTTATTATAAATAAGTTTGCTGCATTTCTTCAGTGATATCATTGCTTTCAAAAGCATATCACATTGTATAATTGTTTTTATTGAAGATTATTAGCGAAAGGGATAGAGGATTATTATTATTATTATTATTACTATTCTTCCTCGAATCTGAGGGCAATGGTTATATATAACTATATATATAAATATGTATATGATTTAATTGCTAATCAAATAATCGATTATATTGTAACATGTCTCAGTAGAATCTACTTCACGAGACAATTTAGTGGGGAGTTAACATTTGATGCGTTTTTTTTTAGTCTTTTTAAGTATCTTACATATATACACAATCAATCAAGTGGCACTCAAAGTTTAACGAATTTACATGAATTTTTTTTTCTTGATTATTATTATTATTATTATTATTATTATTATTATTCTACTTCGTCTTTTCTATACTTCTACTTCTCACTTTTACTTCTACTTACTACTTATTTTTTTTTTTTTATTTCTTCGTAATACCAAATTAACGAGAAATTCCTACATACACATCATAAATATATATATTATATATTATATTACACACAGATACATGTTGTGTATACCTAATCGTCATGCTTAGGCGATACGGTTTTATTCCTATAGGGAAAATAATTGTATGCAGGTATTTATTATTGTCCTTTCTTTTTTTTCTTTTTTTTTTCTTTTTTTCTTGTGGACTACTTTCGTTTAAAATAAGTATTCAAGGGATTCTTATCGTTTAGGATTAGTTAGTAGAAGTCACACAAGTCGTTTTTTGAGAAATCAGATTGTACAAAGCGTGTATTTCAGAATTTAGTGATTTCATTGAAACTGATCGAATTAGAAGCTTTTTCTAACTAAAAAAATCATTGTGTGTGCTTAACGTTTCGCATGTATATATATATATTATACATGACGAGCTGTCTTTTTTTTTTCGAACAGCTTTCGTTGTTATTTATTAACTTATTTTGTTTTAATTCTTCATCTTATTTGTTACTTTTTAATGTCCTGAATTTAAACGTTTAAGTATTCGGGTCTCTATGAGGAAAAAGGGGGTATAATTTTCTAACAAATCGTGTTATCTTTCAAAACATATTTTGCATATTTGCATTTCGACGTGGGTTGTATTTAGGGACAAATAATTGTTCAAACGTGTATTAGATTTCATCAAAAAAAAAATAAAAAGAAGAAAGAAAAGAAAAGAAAAAAAGATAAATTAAATACGATACGTAAAAATGCACATACGCCGATGAAGTTTGAAAAAAGAAAACTAAATAATAATAATAATAATAATAAAAAATAAAAATAAAAAAATAAATTGCTTTTTAAGCATAATTAAATGCGAATTAACGAAGCTAAAACACATCACACGATAAATAATACGTTCAGTATTTATTACACGACGATATATATATATATATATCTCATTTGTATAAATTCATTTCTTTGTAATAAATAACATTTAACGCGTATTAAACTGTACATAGAAAACTATTATCGATAAAGAAAAAAAAGGGGGATTTTTATTATTGTAATTAATTGTTCGATCATGTTTCTTTAGTTATCTTTTGATTTTTATTTTTTATTTAATTTTTTTTTTCTTTCGTTCGTTCATATATCAATCGCGTTCTTCCTTATCACACTTTTCCACATCAGGTGTAAGAACAAATATTTCTATATATGTATGTATGTATGTATGTATGTATGATGTATGTATGTATGTATGTATGTTTGTATGTATGTATCTCTAGGAGAAAACTATATCGTTGAAAAAGATTTATTATTATTTGTAAATAATTTATTAATTAATAACGACTACACTTCTTATTTTGAAGAAATGAAATAATAAATTCTTCAATGAAAAATGAAATAATGTGTTACACATTAATGTGGTTCTTCTTCTTGATAAAATCTTCTTTAAAATCACGACGAATATTATTATTATTATATTTTTTCTTTTCGTCGGCAAATCTTTTTCATATGGAATTATAAACATAATTTATGGTTTTACGAAAAAATAAAAAAAAAAAAAAAAAAATAAAAAAAAAACTATGAAACGATACTTGAATATTGTTTCTTTTTTTCTTTCTTTCTTTTTTTTTTTTTGCAAATGAATTATTTGATGATACATATATATATATATACAACTATAATAATAATTACACTCAGCAAAGAGAAACGCATACGTATTTATACATAGAATTGTATGCTAAACTTGATAAAATAGCCTATGGGGAATTTAATATTATATATGGGTATGTTGATTAGAGTGATTTACGTCCAGAGTTTAATTAGAGATATTTTATACACATAATAGAAGAATAATAATAATATGATGATGATGATGAGAGATAAGATGAATTATTATTGAATGAAATAAATGAAACACGAATGAGAAAGGAACTTTTAAAACAGGAGGACGGGGGGGGGTAAGAAGAAGAAGAAGAAGAAGAAGCATGATTGAAAAAGGTGTGATATAATATTACCTATAATAAAGTAGAACATGGTGTTGTGGTGTGCGTATGAATGCGTGTATGTAAAAAAATTATTTAATATTAAAAAAAAAAAAACAAGGAAAATAACAAGTAAATACGCAACAGACACATTACATCAAAACCTATATGTACATATGCACATATTATATATTTAACAGAAAGAAAAAAAAAGTAGTGTGTATAATATATTATAAATATTATTATTATTATTATAAAATAAGAAAAAAATATGAAATATATAGGAATTTAGGATTATACACAGTGGGGTGGTGTGTTTATGTATGTATGTGGGGGTATATGTTTGTATGAGAGAGAGAGAGAGAGACAGAGAAAGATTGAGAGAAAGAAAGAGAAACTAAACAAATAAAAAAATAAAAACTAATGGAATAATAGTTAATCAGGTAGCGTGTCGTAAATAATTCTATTCACTATTAGTAGATAATAATGCATAGGGCCGCGCGATAGCTGTTGGGTCCACGATAATTTAGCATCGTAAGTCTCTCGAGTGCCTTCATATCGAGAGCCACTACATTACAGGATTAATTGTTGTAATATAATGGTGTCGTTCGTTTCTTTCTACATTGGTGAAAGCGAAGTTAGAAATGTTCTTCTTTATTCCTTTTTTTCCCTTTTTCTTTTTCTTTCTCTTCTTGTCAGTTTCATGGTTTTGTTTTTTTGTTTTTTTTTTTTGTATTAATGGTAATAAGAATAATGATGATGATGATGATGATTATTAATAATAATAATAACAGTATTATATTAATAATATAAATATAATGATTATATACAAAATGATTATTCATATTTTGACAAAAAAAAAACAAGAAAAAATAATTATTTATTTAATCAATTCGATGCAACAACTAATCAATAATCTATTCATTGTATTTTGCATGTTTTTCTTTTTCTTTAGTTTCTTTTTTCATTGTTTAATAACTCATGTAATTAGATATATACAATTGGTACGTTTTAATATGATCATTAATTATATATGAAGGGGGCAGAGAATTATATTTAAAGTGTATAAGTCAGTTTAAACTTCCCGCCATATTGAAACGTACACAACGTCGTATATATGTGTGTTGAGAAATATTTTGCCCGCGAAATTTGATTTACACATATATATTTTAATAAATGCATATATAATTATTGTATTGAGTCATCTTGGCATTGATAATTCGCTAAAAACAAGAAGAAGAAGAAAAAATAAGTCATATCTTTAGAGTTATGCGTTTACATTCGTACATAAAGAAAAAAAGGGGAAAAAAAAAACATGTATTAATTATGTGTGGGCGCGTAGAATCTTATGTAAAGAAGGAAAGGAAAAGAAAAGAAAAAAGAAAAAAATTCAAATATAAATTAGAGATAATAAATAGGACAGGATAAAATACGTGGATAAATGTTTGAAATATTTATAGTAGTAATTATTGTGTAATCGTGTACAGAGACATTCAAAAATATCTATTTTATATTTTAAATTTAAAATATCATTTTGCATAGGAATAATATGTTTCAATTTCAAGTAAAGTTTTTTTTTCTTTTTTTTTTTTTTTTTAAGTTAGATTGCGATCTGGTATTGACCGATTAATTCGATTTTTATTGTAAAATTTGTATATATAATACATATATATATATATATAATTAATTTAAAATATTTAATATATTGTGTTTCGTTTGATTAAATCTTGATTTATATTTTAAACATTTTTCTGATCAAGGAAAACGAAGAAGAAGAAGAAGAAGGGAACGGGGGAAAGATAAGAAAATAATATTTAAAAATATTTATTGGAAAAAACGAAAAAAAAAAAAGAAAAATGGTGGAAAAAAAGCAAAAAAAAAAATAAAATAAAATAATTTTACACAAGCGACATATCGAT